CAGGAATGATTATCTTAGAAATTTAACTAGTAACGTAGCCTTCAGCAGGCAGAAAACGCTCTGACTAACAGTCTAAAACTTCCCTTTAAATAATCTCTTTCTACTTTATTTAAATACTCTCGAATTAAAGATTAGCATTCTGGGAGGAAAAGGAAAAAGGATAATAACAACAAAGCTATCTTCGAAAAGCTGTTCTTCGACTCACTAGATTCGTTTCTGTTAACTGTTTACGTAACTATGAGGTAATAATAAGTATTTTTATTATGGATTTTGTATGGTTTGTTTACTAATTTTTACTATTATATGATTTTGATATTTCTAAATAGGAAGCAAGAGGGGACAAAAATTCTTCCAACAGTCTTTTCAATTACTTTGGTGAACTCACTCGTTAGATTTTCTAGCAGAAAGGTGTATAGTTACTTTATGGAATTTTAAATGATAAATTTTTTGTATTTAATCAAAATCGTTACATTTTGTAATTAAATTTATTCTTATGATTGCTTAAAACAAGAAAGAGATCAGTTCTACATATCTAGAGCTCATGTTTCTAATTTAATGAAAACATTCAAGAAGAACTAATATAAGAAAGATGTGCTAGCTTTCCATATAAACGGACACTATATTTTTGATAGTATGTTATGATTTATATATATTTGAAAATACTTAGAATTCGTTTCAAGTGAGAACAAAAGCATTTGATTTCTCACCCTAAAAGAAAATAAAAATTTAATTTTGAAAACACTGACAGAAAATGTTACTTCAAGCCATATATTTTAAATAATGAAATATTAAGAACAAACGGAAGAGAATTGTTCCGGTTTGAATAGACGCTTTTCGCTGTCTCTGAATGGCAACGGGAAAATCAGTAGAACTGCACTGATTTAGAGAACGCTAAGTGGCAACAGTGTGAACTTTGGGAGAATTTGCTTTCGATTTGTTTGATGCAGCTCGAATGAGACGTTAAATAGATTCTAGATTAAATTAGTTTGTTTTGATATTCTAATAAATCCTCTTTTAAACTAGATTGAATATGGAATTGATGAAAATACCGTTGAGCCACATTATGCAGAAATTTAGATGCAGCATTTAGATTTATTTTAGAACTTCGTTAGATATCACGCGCCGTTATTGTCTGTTAAACGGGAGTCTTAACAATAATAAGCTTTCAAACATGCGATTGTTTTTGTCATATTTAGGAACGTAACTTTGCATTGGAAGTGACTTAACTAAACGTTATTTAAAAAGATCAGTTATCTTAAGCAACACTTTCTTAACTATCACTGACAAACTATGCAGGTATGCATTTTAACACAAGGGAATTCCGCAGTCAACATTCTAGAATATGGTTGTAAAATGTGTACAGTTTTCACATTCATTGTGTTTTTTGATATTTTTGCGTGACATCTGTACCTACGGACAGAATAAAGAACTGGGTTTCCTAAAACAAATTGTAAAATGGATTCAAAAGAGTTTTCATTTTCGTGACGTGTCTAAATACGTATGAACTTATGTATGTATACATCTCGAATAACTCAAAAATGATTAGCCTTAAAACGTGGAAATTTTGTATATTGTTGTTTGCATATTGTTTTAGTTGTGCATCGTACTTTTCTATTGCAAACTTCAGGACAATTATATATATCTGTACTTAACTGGTTTCGCTGCTATATATATGTGATGCACCAGCTTTTGTCAGGAATAAATAGATTCTTGAAGAATCATAAATGTAGTCGTAGCTTAAATTATCAGACGACAAGTTTAAAAAACAGGATGCATTTATTACTGGTCAGGAGAAATAGCAGTTACAAAATAAGATATCCGGAGTAAATAAAAAAGAACTACTAGTAACATTTCGTATGAAGTTTACTGCATCGTGACATTTAAGAAAAAAGCCCGATATTCTTTTGCGAGTCCTTTTATAGCCTCTGGAAAGGCGGAGCTTCCAAGAAATGACGTCAGCCTCGTCAGCCAATCCAGTTCGCTTTAAATATTTTCCAGAACATTCTATAACTGTACTGTAGAAAAGGGCGGGAAAAAACAACTTGACTACGGGGCTGTGAATTTAATTCCACGTACTTTCAAATAAGAGAACATCGCCATTAAAAAATGAAAAGAACTACAGTTAGAATTTTAAGTGTATTCTTGATTATGGAATTTTATTATTACAAATATATATGTATTTAACTGGTTACGCGGTTTTAAAGTCCTTAGCTGGTCCATATTTTCGCAATCGTTGGGCGTAGTCATGTACTTCCAATTTCAGAAGTGTTTTAAATGAAGAAAATATTCATGTTTTGGCAATTTCAAATTTAAAAAAATTATATTCCACAAATAACGAAATATAACTTTTAATGTGCTCTTCCAGTTCTATACTTACTATATTCGAGAAAGTTTTATACTCGTTATGAAAAAAATAAAATTAGAAGAGGTTTGGTTTCCGTATGACAGCAATTGATCGGGATATTTAATTTCAAATTTGCAATTTTTGATGTCGTTTTCGACTTGCCTTGAGAGATAAGTTAATTAAGTTAGAATATATAATTTTAGAGACCGTACAAAGAGGTCGTGGTGTCCACGTCAAATATTTTATTAATGCTAAATTCATAGTTCATCAAAGGTGAAATGTCGCGTTTAAACAAGTAGTGATTTCACAGATAGTATTCATTTCATATAGCTAAGAATTTAAGTTTTATAGTATATATCATTTATAACATAAAACATTTCTACCCATAAATGGTCGAGTGGATAAAGCAGCTAAATCTTGTTATTACGAATGAATTCAGATGCTGGCAACCTGGCGGACTACATGAAGGTTTCCGTGGATTTTAATATATGCAAGATAATTAGGAGCCAAGTTCTTTTAGAAAGACGTACATAAAGACTTTTCTATCCTCTGGCAGAGAGTCTTTGTAAGTTTTTCCATCAGTTACTTGTAAAATTAATATATTAATTAATATTATTATACATAATAATTTTACCTTCCTTCTAAAATTAAAAATCCTTTACTTTTTATGCATTTGCATCATAACATTTTATTTTAGCTCAAAAATTTTCAGAATTACTGCAGAATAGAGCTAACGATACAGGGAGTTTCAGAAATAATATCGTAACAACTGCAGAGCTAATGCAAAAATTGCTTGAAAAGTTTCAGTCTAAAAGTGATAATATTATTCCTAGTTAATGTTATTTGAACATGAGAGCTAATGCTAGTTATAATAACCTATTCTAAAATAGATCATTAATGACATTTAGGCCTCAAGAATATTTTTAATTGCTGTGTGATGCCAAGTAGAAGGATGTAGTCTAAAATCTAAATATTAATTTGATTAAGGGTATTCGGAAATTATTAGTTTTAAGGACACACCATAAATGTTAAGAACTTATACGTTTTATAATCATATCCTACAGAATGTCTAATATTGAACTTCAGAACAATTTATGTAAAGACTATTTTTATAAATATAATTTTATTAATTGAACTATTTATATAACATGTTTTAGACGATTTTGCTTTGCTATAAAAACTATGGTTAAAAAACTAAACTGCTTTAATTTTTTTAACTTAAAGCATATATTAAATAAAATTTTCTGCAACTATATTTTTTAAAGTATATATTATCATCTGCTTCTTGACATTTTTTTTCATACAAAATGACGTTTATAAAGAAGAAATGGATAGAAGGCTATGTTTGTGCTCTTTTCTAAAAAAATTATTTTTCTCTAGTTATTAAAAAATGTTGCGAAAACCATACTGTTTCAATATCTAAAGCCACGATAGGTAATATTGTCAACAAGAAGGATAAAAAACGTAAAAGTTTGTTTTCAAGTGGAAACACTGTTCCAACTACATATCCAAGGAAAAAAATGGAATGTTTCAAACGTTGCAAAGTTAAGATCTTTAATCTGAGAAGCAATTCCAGGAATGGAGAGAGAAAATTCCAGGAAAAGGAATTCAATTGCAAAATCATTACAGTGCTAAGCGTCAACTGTAGAAAAAGTGACTATTTTTTATTTGAATCTTTGAAAGCCGAAAAAGCTTAATATGCCTCATGTTTCTCCACACCATATCGCCGAATGTACAACGCGCTGCAAAATTCTTTACGAAAAGCATTTATCCGCACAAAAATGGAAAAAATGTTACCACAATAGATGAATCTTGAGTGTATTTAAATAAATGCAATAAAAACGGTCCGCGTATTATCACAGAAAAGAAAAAAAATCTTGAAACATGGTTCAAAGAATGTAAAGAAAGGCTTTCAAAGGGATGTATGATTGTTGCTGTTTTTTTCATATAACAGCAAATTAAAAATAAAGAGAATGAAGAAAAAGTTAAGTCCAACTCCACATATTATCAGGAACATATTTTATATCCAATTTTTCTACCTTCTTTTGACCCCCAGTGACATCAATAAGTAGAATTGCATTATGACAAAGCAACCAGCCGTATGTCAAAATCCACTTCTAATTTTTTGAAAGGAAATGGAACAAGAAAGGGGTATCAAGATCACACCTCTCCCTCATATCCCGACTAAGTCTCCTCATATGTCATCCATGAACTTCTACACTTTTGTAATTTTAAAAAGCTGATTATGCACGTCGACCTACAACTCTCCATTTACTTTAGAAAACTGTTCAAAAGGAATTGGATAAAATGCCTCTTCCGATACTCTAAAAGGCTTTATTTTTATTGTCTTCGAAGTTACGGTTAAGAAAGAGAGTGATTAATAAAGTTTACCAAATAGAAGATTTAAAATACAAAATTTTAGATAAAATATTTCTGTAAATACAATGAAAATCATCTAAAATGCTCTCATCAAATCTAAATTGATTAATCAAAATTAGATCTCATCAAATCTAATGTGTGAGAATAGCCTTTGTATATTTGTTAACTTTCTGAAGTAATTTCCTGAATTTATTTTCTTTACTTAATTTTGTAATAGAATACCTGCATTGAATGTTAAGTAAATAAATTACCAAATTTAATATAAGTGGGCACTCACCGCTTGTGGAGAGAAAGCTGACAGAAGCTGAAAATGAGAGAACCGTGCTTCGACTGATGATGATTCCATTGCGGACAACCTCTTTTATACTCTTTTCCGATTTGTCGCTGGGAAATCCCATGCTTCCTAAAAGAAGGCCCTACTTCCGAGATTGGCCTCCAGGGGCCATTTCGTTCGTTTTCCTTTTCAGGCACCTTTCCATATTTAGATTGCGACTTTAACAATGTGGGCCCATTCTCTCAACCGTGACAGGGTGATCAGGAACAAAACTCCACTAAAATATCAAACTGCCTTTTCCTGTTCATTTTCAAGCTATTTTGTCAAACGATTTAACGTCAGCCGCTTTGGCTAATCTGCTCGTAATAGGTCAGAAGGTGATTTTTGATTTATTTCTTTAAAAGATACATCGTAAAACTTGAGACACAAAATATTATGTTAGAATTTTCAATCAGATTTCTTTTCCGGTGTATGCAAATTGTTTATCTTTGAAGGAAAAAAAGGTTAGTAATGAGTTTCTCGGTGCTTAAATCTTTTCTAATTTTGTTAATGTTTTAAGCAGAGTATATTGATATTTTAATAAGATAAACATTTCTCAAATATGTTTTAAATTCCAGTTTTCCTTCATAAATTACCATACATAAAATACTTAAGACCTTAGTTTACGCGCTGGAATATAGCCTTTGGAAGAATATTTAGACGAAGAACAGTGACCTTAAACAAGGCCAGTTCTTTCAATATTTAATAATATTTAATTATTAATAATATTAAAAAGAGTCAATTTTTTATATGTCTTTTTAATTAAGAAATTTTGTTTTTGAATAAAGCTTAGAATTTTTAAAAATACCCATTAATCAACAGTTATTTTTTTAAGTAATTTGTGCTGTGAGTAAACCGATTTCAATTACCATCCTGTCTTTATCTAAAGATTAAAAATAATTAATATAGTCTGCTTATAAACTACAGTTTCATGCAAGATAAAACTTTGGTTAAAAATGCACTTCAAAAGTTTGCTAGAAAATTTAATATAATTTTAAAAAGTTAATGCAATTTAATACATAAAAGGAACAGAAAATCAATCTTTATGAAAAATGTACTTTATTGCCAGTAAAATACGGTAACTTAGTAAGGCCTTTTTTTGTCAAATAGCGTTAATTGCTTTGAATATTCTTAAAAGAATTTCTTTTAACTCGTCTAAATAAGATAGGAAAAAAAGAATCCAGTTTCTTATTTCCATATAAAACGTATTTTATTTCATTGACGATATGTTTTTTCATTTTATTTTCGTTCTCTAAATAGCTGTCCATTTCTAAAAGCTGATCTATCTTTTTCAGCTTTAGAAAAATCCTCATTTTCTAAGCTATTCACTTCTGAAATATATCTTTTTTATCCCTCATTCTTCCCCTAAAAAAATTAATACGTTTTGTCGTTTGCCGAATTTTTTATATGGCATATTATCTCCTGATTTTCATGCATTTCTCTTACTTTCAGTCCATTCAGTTTTTAAATACAAGAGTTCAAATATCCGGACAAAAACGTCAGTTTATCAGGATATTCTAAGTCTTGACAGCTAGCTTGGCATTTCTGTGTAAGGAAAGCATGCATTCTATGATGCAAATGAAAGATTTTATTTCTCTGTTTTTGTTCGGACTGAAAAAGAGAACCCACCCGAATATTTTAATAGTATGGATAACTGACTTGTCATTTCTCTGTAAGCCAAGCACGCATTTCTACAATTCAAGTGAATTTGTATCCGGACTAAAAACGACAGTCTATCTGGATATTCTAGAAGTCCTGACTGCTGGCTTGTCATTTCATGGTAAGACAAACAAACATTTCTTTTTGTAGAGTTATATAGCCTTTATGGTGTAGTGGTCAGCATGCTCGACGCGAATTCGAGAGGTCCGTGGTTCGAGTCCCGGCAAGGGCATTGCTCATTTTTCATGTCCCCTGCTTCCAAACTATCCCATGTCTCTACAGTGGCCCCCCGAACTAAAAGGTGCTGAAAGATGATGCTTCACTACCAGGATTTGGCGATTGGGTCTCTTCCAACCTCAGTCGCCCTTTAAAAGAGGGAGTATATAATGTATTTCTCCCACCTTATGCCTTCGTGGTGTAGTGGTCAGCACGCTCGACGCGAATTGGAGAGGTCAGTGGTTCGAGTCCCGGCGACAGCATTTCTCAATTTTCACATCTCTTGCTTCAAAATAACTTTAGGGGCCCAATCGCCAAATCCTGGTGATGACGAATTATTGTCCACCACGTTTTAGCTCGTGAGTCACTTGTAGAGTCATTATGTAATTTTGAAACAGGAGACGCGAAAAATGTGCAAAGTCCTCGCCGGGACTCGAAAGCTGGACCTATCGAATACGCTTCGAGTTTGCTTCCAATTACACTACGAAGATATGCTAGAAGGAGGGTATGTATGTATGTGTGTATGTGTGTGATTATGGCAAAGCCTCGAGGGCTATCTGCCTAAGAGGAAGGATGCCTTCGTGGAGGACTTTCTAAGGGAAACTGGCTCGTATATACGTTACACATGGGGAAAACCATGAATACGCCCATGAAGGCAGCCCATTCGCGGGATTCGAACCTCGGACCGAACTACCAGTGTTCAGCAAATTTACCGCTCGGCCTAGCAGGAGGGAGAAAGTACTTTATACTGTAATTCAACTGAGAGATTTTATTTCTCTATTTTTGTCTATTTGTATCCGTTTTGTCTATTGTAGTAAAAACGAAAGTCCATCGCTATGTTCTACAATTCTGGATATCTGGGCTTACCATTTTTCTTTTGTAAAACAAGCACGGATTTCTGTAACACAAGTGAAAGATTTTATTTCTTTGTCTATTATTTTTTGTTCTAACGAAAGTTATAAAGTTAAGGAAATAATATCTTTTTATTTCCGTGTAACAAAACGCAAAACGAATTTTCTTTGACAGAGTTAAGTAAAGAAATTATTTTTTACTTTTGCATACAACGCAATCAGTTTCTACTTCATTACTAGCAGTATCTATGCTTCTTATTCTGAAGTCAAAGATTTGTTGCTTGGAAAAGAAATCATCATTATTTTGCTACGTTTATTTAATTAGTTTTAAAAAGCCTGATGTGTACACCACATGACTTCCTTGTACGGAATATTAAATTATACGCATTTTTTCTTGATTTTCATTTAAATTGATGGATTAAATTAAATCTACTTCGTCGACAGCGCATAAATCACAATAGAATAAATGCACTCTTTAAAATTCACTATATTTGTTTACTATAACGACACTCTGAATGCACAAAATTTATATCATTTGAAGAATTATCGTTGCCACATGTTCTATTCAAATACAATAATAAAGCTAAAACGATGTATGAAAGAAATTAAGCAAACAAAACAGAAAAGAAACAGTTTTTCACAGACGATTTAGTATTTCTCAATCAATTAATTCAGTTCTCACTTCGCGACAAGGCAAAAATACATAAAAACTGAAAATATCTGCATTAAAAATTACGAAGTAAATCTCAAACACTTATTTCCTCGAAAAAATTCCAGAAAGGATTAAGCATGATTTAATTCGCAATAATAAATGAAGGCGCTATTTTTTGTGTTGCGAAGCTTAGTCTCACCAGATTGGCAACAAATCTACAATTCTGCTGTTTCAAATGGAAACAAATATGTCCGCCATGTTATATAAAACTTAACCGCACTTAAAAAGGTTTTAAATTGTTGATAATTGTACAAATATTGCCTGCAGAATTACGAAAGGCATAAAAACCTTAACCGGAAGATAAAAAGAACATAATTCAATCATTTTTAAAGCAAAAAATGTACAATTTACAAACATATAAGAGTAAAGAAACTGAGATGACTGAGCCGTGTAACAGAGTGGATATATTTAAAAATATATTTATATACGTTTGGCGCGGCCGATTGCAACCAAAATACGAAGTGCACATCTACATGTTATAGTAGTCTTATATACAAAATTTCAACGTTCTGAGGCTACTCGTTTTTGAGGTATGCGAGATACGTACGTACGTACATACGTTCGTACAGACGCCACGGAAAATTCTCTTCAGAATTAAAGCAGTTTTATAATTTTTTTGCAGGAAAAGAGTCTTTTATTCTGTCCTTACGTACAGATATCACGCAAAAACATCGTTAAATTGCATTCGATAGCTGTCAAAATGGATATTTTCGTTGAAATATATTGCCCGAAACTTTTCGCGATTACAATACTTCCTTTTTTCTTCGTACAAGGAAGTAAAAACAAAAATTTATTGAGGCTAAATGGAGAAAAAAAAAGGATGGCAGGTTTGTATACGCAGCACGTAGTTGAACTGTCAGCAATTTTTGCAAGCTAGATCTTCCTTTAGGATGGTAAGCCAATCTAATTACCATATATATTTATATAAATCGTAACCTATTAAAAACATGTCTTGTACTCAAAGACATGTGTTGTGTTCTTTATATAATTGAGATTAATGAAAGGATTACAACTTGTGAATAAATGAATTAACAACAAGTTTAATTTTACTTTGTTTAGAAATAGAAACAAGCGGTTAAGTTAACTGGAGTCCGAATGCTTGGAGAACTTTTGTGTTGACATTTACACTACTGTGCAACTTTACCTTGACATTAATTTTTTTTGCCCCAAAAATTGAAAGAATTATGCTTTCTTTTATTAAAAAGAGCTTTAAATTATACTAACTGAAATGAGCCAAACCGATAAGAAAAAAAATTCCGAAAGGGTTCTGACTTTAACCGTCGCTCAAGCGGGTTGTTAAGGTTTTTTTCAACTCTCGCTGAGCTCGCCGTCTACCGTTCTGATATTGTAGTCGCTTCTCCCAACCCGTTTCTTTTTGTATTTTTAGCTTTATTACTCAGCATCGTTTTATTCGTACTTAGGCCATATGCATTTCAAAAAGAAAATTTTAAAAGATTTAAAAGCAGCATAGCAGCATATACTTAGAATCGAATTTTATGTTACGTAAGCACGAAAATCGATCGAGTTAACAGCCGGGCAGCGAGTGCCGAGTGGGTCGTCGAGTGCATCGAAGAGTCTCTTAGTGTATCGCTGT